ATCCCGCTACCAGCCTCCTCTCCCTTTGCCTACAGGACAAAACCCTCACCTCATCTTCCCATCTCTTCCCCTTTATAACCCCCAGAACAGTCATCAGAAGGCAGGATCATTTTAGCCTGGTTATCCCCCAGATGCTGGTTGGTTATACAAATAAAACTTCCAATCCTTGCACCAACAATGTTTTACCTTTGTGTAGGTTTTAGATTCCATTTTGTGGTATAACCGTTTTCAAATGCATTAAAAGAAAACTCTTCCGATATGCCGCAGACATAACCCCGGGCAATGGTGGTTTAGTATTCTTTAGAAAATTCCCAATCCTAGTGTTAGACCTTGAATTTCTCTCTGGTCATAATTTCTCTCTGGGAGTATTTTTCATTTAGTTTGGCATGTCTATTTACTATAAACCCACCTTTTAATATGTAGAATAATAATGAGCAACAGAAAGGTATACTCATTAACTAAATTGTATATATATCAACCATAGGATAGGTTCCAGCAAGAGACCATCATTGTTAGACTGCTTCACTCCTCTCCCTGCTGTGCTATAGAAGTTTGAAGGATTTTGCTTATCTAAGTATCTTTGCAGGGAATTTTTCCAGTATCTTTTTAAGTATTTGAATTCTGATTTTTATAATTTTTTTTTTCACATTAGCAACAAAGTTTTAGGTAATGGAAATTATTCTTAAATGACTTTTTTTCCCCCATAAACAACAACTATGTGTAGGGCATACCGGTTTAAGATTAACAGGAGAGTTAACCAAAGGAAAACTTGGAATTCCAATCCTTAGCCTAGAGAAGAAAAGTAAGAAACTTTTTCATTTGTCTAGGGGAAGTTTATTTAATAATATTTATGATTGTGGGGATGTGTTCGGGAGGGAAAGAAGCATAATAGAGAAATCTTTCCAGATTAGTATATGCAAATCAAAAACAAATTTAAAAAAGTATATGCAAATCGTTTACATTTAACAATACCATTTACAACTCACAAAAATGAAGGACCTAGAGTAAATCTAGCCACACTTCTAGACGGAAAATTATAACTGTTGTGAGACCTTAACAATGACATAAATACATAAATGGAGAGTTATATCTTGTTCATGGATTGGCAAAGTTAAGATAATATCAGTTGTCCACCCCCCTCCCATGAACAGATTTAATGCAATCCCACTCCAAATCCAATAATCTCAGGAGAATTTGACATAGTTGACGACTTTCTGTCTTGAGACACTTTCTTCTGTTTTTCTCCTACCTCACTGGTTATTGCTTATCAATATCCTTTGCTACCGCCTCATCTACACAACCTCTAAAATTTGGCATGCCTCAAGGCTCAGCCTTAGACCCTT